CGTTATTACGACATGTAGCTCATTAAAGGCACACTATGTAAGATTTTTGGATTCAAATATCCAAAAACCACTAGAACAATGTTATATATTTTGTTGATTTGTGTACTTGCATTATCCCAAATGTTTCTACGAATGTTTAAATCCAGAGAAATAAGCAGTTTTAACCAGGACACGGACCGTAAGCGACTGTTTGGATACATTCATAGAGAGAAAAGAATCATTGTTATACAGCTCAACACAGTTAGTCTTTTTGTTTATAGTTATCTCGTTTTCTTGATTTACCGCGAGTACCATTTTTTACGTTAATAAAATCTTTGATACATTACTGGTCATCCATGAATATGATTTCTGCCCGAGTCCATGGTATTCTCCACCGGCTGTAGAGGTGAAGACAACAACTCCCATGATTCCCCGAAATCAACTAAAGCTACACCTTTGTTTTGAATAAACGACCTCTAGTGGTGGAAAATTACACAGTGTGGCTTTAAATGAGGAAAATAATATGAAAGTAGCCCAAACAGAACAATTATTCTGTGTAACATTAAACCCCATATCTAGTATCTAACAATAATATTTATTTGCATAAATAAAACCGTCAAAGGTAAGAGATTTACATTTGTTGTTTATTAGTGTCATAAACTTAGATTCAGATAACAATATTCAGAACCAACATTCATTTAATCAAAGCAATAAATAAGTCATATGTCAAAAACATGTCGACAAACGAACCAAACTCTTCCAGTCTCAGTGTTTGAGGGCGGGGCAAAGCAGACTCGGTTCACCCGCAACCAATGGGCTGCCATTATGCAAATTAGTTTCTAACCCACGCAGGTTCATCAGAAACTGAGACTGGAATTACTGACGTCTCGTTTCAGGCAGTTCGATTTTTTTTCGTCCCAATCTGCTGTCTAGTTCAGTAGTCGGGGCACTGACCAGGGAGTCGGCCATTTTAAGGGCTGTCTCAATCCCAGAATACTTACAGGGCACTGAAACATTAGCTTCCTCAAATGTCCCACAATGCACCGTGAAATCCAGGGAGCATCGATGCTCACTCTGTTCCCTTAACGGCAGTTCCGGAGTGCAAAACTTAAATCACGTGAGCCAACTCACTACACATAATGACACATGAAAGTGCGGATTGAATGCCCCGCCCCCAGCTGAACTGGAAGTTTTGATTGGTTTTGCGCCTGAGTCAGACATGTCTGTGATTGGCTGAAGCGCAGGGCTCCACCCCAGTATTTTGAAAAGTGCCTGTCAAATGCCAGCTCGCTCTTTTGCTCCGTCGGCACTTGTCTTTGTTTGGTTCCCGTTTGTGCTCCTGCACAGACAAATGGCATTTCAGCCCGCCAAAACAAGCTGGTCCGACTGCCTTTTAGAAAAATAAATCTCCTTTGCACATGAAGATCATCTCCTCCATCTCCCGATGTGAAAATTGTGGCCGATACCGATAACCGATAATAATATTGCTGTTATGGCCGATACCGATATTTACCGATGTCGATATCTCTGTATACAAAACACATAGCGAGGAAGGATTAGGGCTGCACGATATTGGTAAAAAAATGACATTGCGATATTTTATTTTTCTGCGATATATATTGCGATATAAAAACAATTCCACCAGATGACTTGAATAGCTCTTGGAAAGAATGAATCATTCTAGAATGACTGTGGTGGTTTTGTCATGGAGTAAATCCGCATAGAAACTAATATTAATAGAATGTTAACTATTGTAGTTAACTAGACTTTAATAAATGGAACCTTATTGTAAAGTGTTTCCGATTTATGTCTCTTGAGTTCAGTGTTGGACAGATCAGTTGTTTTAACCATTCATTAAAGTGAATCGGTTCAAAGGAGTCATTAGTTCGTGAACCGTGAACCGGAACTGTGTGTGATTTATTTAATGGAAAGCACATTCACTTCTAGTTGTCTTGCTTGCTGTTAATTTTAAATAAACGTAGAGCAAGTAGTTAATCAGTGTCTGCTCGTTTATTCAAGTTGTTCTATAACAGACGAACGTCGCTCTGCATACGTCATCTCCTTCATCGCTCTGATTGGTTTTAGGTCTATCCGCGACGTCCGTTGGTGACGCCCCTTTGGAAATTATTTGTCTATGAAGCTTTGCCACACCATATCTCAGTTACAACTGAGAATGATCTGGTTTTAACCAGGCTAGGTTAGATTTTTTCCTTTCCATGAAATGGCCAAACACGCTTGCATAACGGTCTGAAACGATTCGGATTCGTTCGAACCGCTCTGTCACTAAATCATCTGAAGCAGTTTCTTATTCAGAAACAACAAATAGAGAACAAATCGTGCCATTTTCAGTTGTTTCACTAGTTTACTTTGAACTACGCAGCACGGCCCAGCGGATAAAGGAACACAAGCTTAAAGGAGTTGCATTTACTCCCAGTCCCGGACACCATTATTAAACAGCGAAGTAACTAGTTTTAAATCAGATGAAACAGCCTAAACATTCCCAACACGACTGATGAGGAAAACAGCAGAAACATTGTGCCGTGAACAAAGATAGAAGACTTTAAATCCCATAATCATCACCCTTACAAACATTTACCTTGAATGTACTGTAGTAATTTAACATAGTTTGGGCAGAATGTGGGATATTTATATTGAATACTATGTTATAGTCATTTATATTGCATTAGATTCATTAGGTGGGTAGAGGAATACAGGTCCTTCTCAAAAAATTAGCATATTGTGATAAAGTTCATTATTTTCCATAATGTAATGATAAAAATTAAACTTTCATATATTTTAGATTCATTGCACACCAACTGAAATATTGCAGGTCTTTTATTGTTTTAATACTGATGATTTTGGCATACAGCTCATGAAAGCCCAAAATTCCTGTCTAAAAAAATTAGCATATTTCATCCGACCAATAAAAGAAGTGTTTTTAATACAAAAAAAAAAGTCAACCTTCAAATAATTATGTTCAGTTATGCACTCAATAGTCAATACTTGGTCGGGAATCCTTTTGCAGAAATGACTGCTTCAATGCGGCGTGGCATGGAGGCAATCAGCCTGTGGCACTGCTGAGGTGTTATGGAGGCCCAGGATGCTTCGATAGCGGCCTTAAGCTCATCCAGAGTGTTGGGTCTTGCGTCTCTCAACTTTCTCTTCACAATATCCCACAGATTCTCTATGGGGTTCAGGTCAGGAGAGCTGGCAGGCCAATTGAGCACAGTAATACCATGGTCAGTAAACCATTTACCAGTGGTTTTTGGCACTGTGAGCAGGTGCCAGGTCGTGCTGAAAAATGAAATCTTCATCTCCATAAAGCTTTTCAGCAGATGGAAGCATGAAGTGCTCCAAAATCTCCTGATAGCTAGCTGCATTGACCCTGCCCTTGATAAAACACAGTGCACCAACACCAGCAGCTGACATGGCACCCCAGACCATCACTGACTGTGGGTACTTGACACTGGACTTCAGGCATTTTGGCATTTCCTTCTCCCCAGTCTTCCTCCAGACTCTGGCACCTTGATTTCCGAATGACATGCAAAACTGAGCAACAGTCCAGTGCTGCTTCTCTGTAGCCCAGGTCAGGCGCTTCTGACGCTGTTTCTGGTTCAAAAGTGGCTTGACCTGGGGAATGCGGCACCTGTAGCCCATGTCCTGCACACGCCTGTGCACGGTGGCTCTGGATGTTTCTACTCCAGACTCAGTCCACTGCTTCCGCAGGTCCCCCAAGCTCTGGAATCGGTCCTTCTCCACAATCTTCCTCAGGGTCCGGTCACCTTTTCTCGTGCAGCGTTTTTTGCCACACTTTTTCCTTCCCACAGACTTCCCACTGAGGTGCCTTGATACAGGACTCTGGGAACAGCCTATTTGTTCAGAAATTTCTTTCTGTCTTACCCTCTTGCTTGAGGGTGTCAATGATGGCCTTCTGGACAGCAGTCAGGTCGGCAGTCTTACCCATGATTGCAGTTTTGAGTAATGAAACAGGCTGGGAGTTTTTAAAAGCCTCAGGAATCTTTTGCAGGTGTTTAGAGTTAATTAGTTGATTCAGATGATTAGGTTAATAGCTCGTTTAGAGACCCTTTTCATGATATGCTAATGTTTTGAGATAGGAATTTTGGGTTTTCATGAGCTGTATGCCAAAATCATCAGTATTAAAACAATAAAAGACCTGAAATATTTCAGTTGGTGTACAATGAATCTAAAATATATGAAAGTTTAATTTTTATCATTACATTATGGAAAATAATGAACTTTATCACAATATGCAAATTTTTTGAGAAGGACCTGTATATAATTCATTTTTGTTATGTACCTTCTTTGTGAAGGTGTGTGTATAGTTTTTACCTGTGTTTAGGCTTTTTTTTATACAGTTGTAGTGAGTGAGTAGCCATGCATGGTTTTAACTGTGGTTACCAAGACTCACTGTCAGAATATTTTCATTTAAGGCTATAATAATTATATATAAAATAATTCTTACCACTAGCTATGAGCTTGTATAATTCATATATTTGTTCCAAGGAAAAGTGTTCACAGCTCTAATAAGTCATTTATTATGATCTTATAAATCTGTATACTGTTGGGTACCACATTTCCAAGTAAATAGAATACTTTTTTTTAGGTTTACTGTAGCTTATTTATTGATACTGTTATGTTTAAATAAATAATACATAATGTTTCAATAAATAAGCTAAACCAACCGGCCCACCTCAACTTTTCGATTTAATAATCCGGCCCTCGAATGAAGCTGATTGAATAGCCCTGCTCTAGACGGTGTACTCACTCTTAAACTGGAGTGAGTGAAGTGAAGTAAACTGAATTATTTAAACTTTGTTTTACAACGTTTATACATCAGGCCCCAGGTGTAAACCTGAATGTGTCTCCTTCATTTACTTCTGCTCTGATTGACCAGAACACTTCTTAATACCAGGTGTAAACAGGGCCTTTGTTGGTTTTGATGTTTTGCTTTGTGCCATTAAACATTGGCTTTAACTTGTATTTGTTTTGCTTTAGATGTGATGCATCTAAAAGAGGAGAGTCCAGAACTGGAGGGATTTGAAGATCACGATTTCAAAACTGGAGAGAAGTCTGTTAGTTGCTCAATTACAAAAAAGGTTTCCTCACAAAAAAGAGCCGTGAAGACAAAAACTAGAAGTGATTTCCCCTGTCAACAGTGTGGAAAAAGTTTAACTCGAAAATCAAACCTTGAAGTCCACATGAGAGTTCACACTGGAGAGAAGCCGTTCAAATGCCGACAGTGTAAAAAGATTTTCAGTGAAAAACGAAACCTTGAAGTCCACATGAGAGTTCACACTGGAGAGAAGCCGTACAAATGCCCACAGTGTGGAAAGAGTTTCACTCAAAAATCAAGCCTCAATGTCCATATGAGAGATCACACTGGAGAGAGTCCTTTCACCTGCCAACAGTGTGGGAAAAAATTCACTCAAAAAGGGAACTTGAATGTCCATATGAAACTTCACACTGGAGAGAAGCCTTTCACCTGCAATCGGTGTGGGAAGAGCTTCACACTAAAAGGAAATCTACAGATTCACTTGAGGATTCACACTGAAGTGAAGCCATTCACATGTGACCAGTGTGGGAAGAGTTTCAGATCTAAACAAACTCTTGAAACCCACATGATGATTCACTCAAGAGAGAAATGCCATCAGTGTGGAAGGAGCTGCAAAGACAGTGAACACCTGAAGAACCATGTAAAAACACACACTGGAGAGAAGCCTTTCACCTGCAATCTGTGTGGGAAGAGCTTCACACTAAAAGGAAATCTACAGTTTCACATGAGTATTCACACCGGAGAGAAGCCATTCTCATGTGACCAGTGTGGGAAGAGTTTCAGATCTAAACAAACTCTTGAAACCCACATGATGATTCACTCAAGAGAGAAATGCCATCAGTGTGGAAGGAGCTTCAAAGATAGTGAACACCTGAAGAACCATGTAAAAACACACAGCGGAGAGAAGCCGCACATGTGTCTTGACTGTGGAATGACATGCTCAAGCAATTCAAGCCTTCAGAGGCACATAAGAGGTCACTCTAGAAAGAAGCCTTTTTTCTGTCCTCAGTGTGACGCGAGTTTCACAAATCAAAGAGACTTGAAACAACATTTGCAGACTCATTCTAGAAAGAAACCTAAATGTTCTAAGCCTGCCAAGAGGAAAAAAAGCAGTATCAAAAGTCACCTGTAAATTTACTCTGGAGGAAAGTGATTTAATCTTGCTCAGGGTCAAATAATATTTTTTTATTTTGTTTTATTATTATTTTTTTAGTCACGCTTGCAGATACAGTTGGCTTGGTAATTTTAAATTCCACCAGAAAATCGTTGTAAAATTATTTTTTAATAGATCTAATTTACTTGATTGTTCAATACATCCGAATCAAAATGTTAGATAAACTTGTTTTGCTGTGAAATGCCACAATGTAAATGGAGATAAAGGGCATTAACTGAATAAAATAATGAACATTGCACTGAATTATTTGATTCCTCTTCAATGAGAGAATGCACAAGTAAACATATGATTTAAGTTGTGACTTGACTATGCCTACGGTTGGGAGTATGGAAGCATATGGGTAGCAATTTTCAATTTGAAATCTAATATTCAAAATGGCAATGTATTTCTGTATTTATATATACATGTTCCACACCAAATGTGCTACTTTTGGAGCCAAATTCTATTTTAAATCCTATAATATTATTTACAATGGCTTTTTCCTTGACTGGTTTTAACCTATAATTTAAACTTTTATATTTTAATATTTTATGAGTTGCAATTTTTTTTCAAATGAAAATGTATTACAGAAATGAATAGATGTGGTAAACATGTTCAAGCTGTCTACCACTTGGTCCTGTCTGCCGTGTCTGAGATGTGCTAACTAACTGTGTTAAACTAACTAACTCTCCTACCATCGGGGTCTTTGGCTGCCGGCATAATTAACGTCTCTCCAATGGTCTGTGCTTGCCTTGGCAATACACAATGCAACACGATATGAAGCTTCAGTGGCTTTTGCATTTAATTTAACAATCTCCCACACATTTTTTCTGACCTTGAAAAGGCTTGACATTTTCTATGGAAAATTCTGGCTGTTTTCCTGCTACCTCAGCATTCTTGGTGTCAAGGTGTCGCCAAAGTTGTGCAGGTGTCATGCTGTCATTAGCCAGAATCTCCTGACAAATGAAACATGAAGGCCATGGTTCATCTGCTGGTCCTGTCCACATAAATCCTTAACTCAAATACTGATCATCATATCGTCATCTTTTGGGTTTAAGCCTTGAAAAAGGTTTTGAAACTGATGGTCTAAGAAACCGCACCATTGTATTAATAAGCATGAGTGTATTTGGTGGGCTTGCCAAAATGCAACGGATTCAGAGTTATGGCCTTCTGGATGAAGAATATTTCTCTATTATTTTTGTCTGTTATTTTTTTAGTAATTTGTAAATAATGTTTTAAATATAATAGTTTAACTTTCAATTGATTATTATATTGTTTTTTACCACTCTGCACGGCTCCCCTGACATGCTCTGGCCCCCACACTTTGAAAACCCCTGGTATAGAGGATGTACTGTAAATCTACAGGATTTTACGTTTTTGAATGGAAGGAAATGTCCGTAATCTGAACGAAAAATTTCCTGGTTATTTTCTGACACGACATTATCTATTGTTTTTATGGATTTTGTTTTGACTGTGTTTTCCATCATGCTATAAGTGCACATATCTTTGCAAAGAAGTCAAAGATAGAGTTGTAATAGATGGAGTTACAGCTTTAGGATGATGGGAGTTTTCTAGAAGAGACTGGCCAAATAAGTCAGGACTTGAATAACTAGACTTGCCATTCATTCCATTTTTCTTTTGTAAAAACTCAAGTATTCCCAAATGCAGAGGTATAGTAAACAGTGTTTATTAAACTTTGGATAACACAACTTCCAAAGTAAGAGACACGTGTACGTGAACAGAAATAACTAGAAGTGTGGGAGCTTTAGAGCCTTCCGAGCATAGTTCAGCTGATAATGGCATTGGAGGTCACCCACGATCCAGTACCCTCACGGGACGGAAAGCGAGACGAGACATAGAGAAAAGGGGCAGTGGTCTGGGGACCGAATGATGGGCTTGATCTTGGAGACATGAAAAACTGGGTGGATATTCTTAAACTGGGGAGTTCATTTGAGTCGAACCGACAACGGACTGAGCACCTTAGTGATAGACAACGGTCCTTGTTCCTCTCGCCAGTCCGAGTGAGGGCTTCTCTGGCGATCCTGAGCGTACGGAGACTTCTCTGAATAAACGCATGCGTGGATGGAACAACGGCGTCTGATACTTGGGAGGGGAATAATGGTGGCTGGTAGCCTAAACAGCACTGGAAGGGACACAAACCAGTAGACGAGACCAGGAGGGAGTTATGTGCGTACTCGACCATGGATCTGGAACTCCAAGATGACGGTCTTGCCAAGGCCACACACTGCAAGACCCTCTCCAAATCCTGGTTAGCACGTTCGGCCTGACCGTTAGTCTGCGGGTGATACCCAGAGGATAGACTCGCAGTCGACCCCAGCTGTTGACAGAACTCTGTCCAAAACTTAGACACAAATTGGGGACCCCTCAGAGAATGTGGAAAATGTGATCTAATACAACAGTCGCTGTCTCCCTCGCTTAATATGATAGGGAATAAAATAAGCCGCCTTCTAGAACCTGTCCACCACAGTGAGGACTACTGTGTTGCCACTACACAGAGGTAGGCCTGTAACAAAGCCCACAGCTATGTGTGACCAGGACCTCGAAGGGACAGGGAGCGGCTGGAGTAGCCCTGCCAGGGGTAATTTCGATCCTTTACCTGCAACTGATGAGTGTCCCACGCCATGGACTGACACCAAAACCGCTGCTTGATTAAACTGCACATGCAAGTTATCGTGGCATTACACGCCCCCATTGCTCCCCAGTTGTTGGAAAGGAGCAAGCTAATTGTAAAGTTCCTAAAGGGGCTCCAAAGGCTAAACCCTGATTCTGACTTGAGACTTATCCACCATCCTCAGGGCACTCCGAGGCCTCCCATTTAAGCTGCTGCAGATGCACCTAAGGGCACTCGCACTTAAAACCACCCTCTTGTTAGCACTGGCCTCAGATAAGCAAGCTGGTGAACTGAATTACATCATATGCTCTCATTGACAAATGCGGAACAGTTAGTTCTTGTGTTCATGACCTCAAGGCTAGATTATTGTAATGCTCTACTGGGTGGTTGCCCTGCATGCATAATAAACAAACTACATCTGGTCCAAAACTCAGCAGCTCGAGTTCTTACCAGAACCAGAAAGTATGACCATATTAGCCGGTTCTGTCAACACTGCATTGGCTCCCTATTAAACATATATTTTAAAATATAGCTGATTACTTACAAAGTACTAAATGGTGTAGCTCCCCAGTACTTGAGTGAGCTCTTAACGCATTATGTTGCGTTCACACCAATCGGGAATAGAGCGTCTGGCGCGAGTGATTTCAATGTTAATTCAATGTAAAGACGCGTTTTACTCGCGTCTAGAGGTTCTGCGGCGCGAATGAGGCATTTAGCGCGGCGCGGTAGATGGGAGTTTGCCTTATTCGCGCGCCCAGTTCGCATGATTTTATTTGGTGCATTCATGCTTTTTATGTGAATTCGCGTCTGACGCCAAATTGAAAAAACTGAACCTGCTTGCTGCTGTCACATGGTGAAGTGACGTGATAAACTCCCGCCCGGCGTCACTCATTCAAAATGGAGGAAAAGCTTATACTGGCGGTAAGCAGTCATCCTGAGTTATATGACACTAGTTCATATTTCTACAGAGACCGGAATAAAAACTACCTCGCTTGGAAGTGGGTCAGTGAGGAGATTGGGCAACCTGGTAAGTTGTAAATACACATTTCACTTTTGAGTCACATTATTGACCTGCTAACCAGCTAGCAAGCTGCATTTTCCCGCTTATATTCAGCTACTTTACAAGATAATGTGTTTATTCAGAGGACGTCTGCAGAAAAAAATGAAAAAGCCTCAGAGACACGTACCTGAAGGAGAAGAGGAAGGAGACGGACAAGAGGAGTGGGTCAGCAGCAGGGTCGGGGAAGAGATGGAAGTACTCTCAGATCTTGGGATTCCTCAACCCCTTCGTCACCCCACGGGAGACTAGCGGTAACATGGAGGGGGTCGAGGCCCGGATCAGAGAGGACAACCACCTCGAGGACCGGGGACACCCTGGAGAAACAGCATGGGAGACGGAGACAGGTGTGTTTCCAATGAAGCCACATACAAGGCATATATGCTGTCATTGTTTACAGATGAAGAAATGTAATCTCTCTATGACTATTGTTACCAACGTATTATATTAACATTTAATGTAGTCTTGACAGAGGAAAGTGATCAGAGGGGCCCTGAAGAGGGTGGTCCTGCCTCTTCTCCTGTCTCCCTAGTCACTGGTCCCTCAGCCCCTGCTGCTGAACCCACAGGTGTGTGAACGCAATAGTACAAACAATATTTGAACACGTTACGTGCACAAAACATTAGTCCCCTTACTAATAATCATTGTATTTGTAAATGCAGACACAAATCCATTGCAAAGTATGCCACCAATCATCTGCATACATACTTTTAGCTACTGTTCATTTGTACATGTCTGAAGTATAACTTTTAATTACTTAATATATGTTAAAGCAAGTTCAAAACAATTTCACACTTGCATTTAAGCACTGTCTATGTCACTCACACAGACAGATATTATTCTCACAATATCTAGACAATTTTGTTGTCTCAATTAAATTGTTAACCTACACTGTGAACATGAAAATCAGGCTTCATCTTTCTGCCTTCTCATTGCACTGTGTGTTGTATTTCACAGGCCAACAGAGGCGGATGGTCCGTCGGAGGTGGAGCAGACGCTGTTGGAGCTTCTGGTGCGACCTAAATTTGTAGCAATTGGACCCCAACTCCCCCACCACCCCAACCCCAACCCCCACCCCCCACCCCCCCACCACCCCAACCCCCACCCCCACAGTAGGCTTTTAAAAAATGATGCAGCAGGAAACACAGAATGCCCTTCTTCCTCTTCTCCTATGTCGTTCCCTGTGGCTTCCACCTTCCAAGCGTGGTCCTTTTTATTCCTGTCTTTATGTAAATAGTTTGTACATATTGTTCATTTTTTTCTGTTCATATTGTTATTTTATATGTTTGGCCTCAATAATTTATTTTATATGTTTGGCCTCAAAAAATTATTTTGTAATATGA